AGCCCCAGAGTGCGCCAGTCAAGAGGCTGGCAGGCTATGGCTGCTGACGGACACTGTCGGCCCCCATGCGCTCGCTGGCCTCTGTGTTTGGGGGCCGATGGTGTCAGGCAGCAGCCTTCCCGGCCCCTGCCTCGCCTTGCCCTGCAACAATGGCACCCCTGCCCTGCCTCGCCTCACCCTGCAGGACAAGCCTCCTGCCCACTGTCTCACTTGCCAGAAACCCCCTGGATCTCCCCCAACCCTGCCCGGCCCCCACAGGCATTCCTCCCCACGAGCAACATCAAGGTGACCATGCCCACCTTGGACACACTCACCCAGTCTGCTGTGACCACCACAGCCATGCCCACCCAATGGGCCACGCCCACCCAGCACCTGGCGATACATAAGTGGGTTTTGGGTTGCAGTTTGGACACTTGGTTTCTAAAAGGTTCGCTGTCACTGGTCTAGATCAGTGGTGGTGAACCTTTTAGAGACCGAGTGCCCAAACTGCAAGCCCAAACCCACTTATGCATTGTTGGGTGTCAGGTGGGTGTGGCCCATTGACTGGGTGTGGCCAATTGGCTGGGTGTGGTCCATTGGGTGGGCATGGCTGCGGTGGTAACGGCAGACTGGGTGGGACTAAAAAGTTCAATCAGTTCCAACTTTGCAAGATCTTTTTTTTTCCACGAGAAGTTGAAATTGACTCATTGATTAAACCCTTTTTTTTTTTTTTTTGCACACGGGACGGAGGCTGGGGTGATGGCACACGTGCCTACAGAGAGGGCTCTGAGTGCTGCCTCTGGCACCCGTGCCATAAGTTTGCCACCACTGGTCTAGATTATCTTAATGGCTGCATTTACTAGCAACTAAAGCAAGAATGAGCCAAAGGAAGGAGCTGCTTTTTAGGCATCTTGGAACTGAGATGATATTAATTTTAGTAATATTTGCATTCTCAGGCCCTGAGAGGTGGGAGAATCTCTAATGGTTTATGCCGATGGGTGTTTATTAGTGTAGGGAACTCAAGTGATAGCCCAGCATCTTTATTTTGATGAATGACACAGTATCCAGAAATGCATTTCACGACTCATTTTTATTCTGATGCCAAGCTGGGATTGTCTTTGCAGACATGCTGAGCTTGTGTCTCTTGGATGTTGAAGCCAAGCTTAAGTAACCCTGTGGGAGTAAGAGGAAATAGACCCACACATATTTTCAGAGATACAGAGCCAGGCAAATACATTATCATATTAAACTCTCTTGGCTGTTAAATTCCAATTAAAATACATCTGAATGAAGGGCAGGGAGTAGATTTAAGTGAAGAGAGCTGTGATTTTCACAGCAGTTTTGGTCTCTGGTTGAAACTTTCTGAGAGACAGCCCATTCCTCAATGGGAGACCACCTGTTTTGCATGGAAGATGTTTCAGATTCAATTGCCCTTCTCTAGTTAAAGAATTACAGAGAACAAAACTGAAAACGTTTCTTTCTCTCCAAGTGCCAGTCAGAGTAGACACTACCGGGCAAGAGAAGTCAGTATTCTGACCTGTTGCACAACTGTGAGAACGTGCTGTTATTGATAGTGAACATCTGAGATGCTAGGACTGCAAAGAGGGAAGGTTATAAAATAATAGTGAACCAAAAGGCTGGAGTAGCATTAGTATTAATGTTAGATCCTCCCATGCTATGTAGCATATCGGGCAGCAAGGATTCTCCAGTATTTTCGGTGTGGGGCAAGTACATCAGCATCTTCCCCTGTGATATTTAAAGCCTTTAAGTCGTCTATGAATGTTCTTCAGTGTGTATTTTGAGGGCGCCCTCTTGGTTGTTTGGCATTGAGGGAAATCTATCTCATTGCCATCTTGAGAATAGGCATAACATTCAAATTAATGCATTTGATTTCTATCCCATCTTTCTTTCAGGAGCTCAAGGTGGCCCTTTATAGCAAGATATCTATTAGCTACTCATAAAACTGAAAGTAATATTATTTTGAGTGTTCAAAATTACCACAATGAAAAGCTCTTGCCAAAGAAATGCATTTCCCCAGCATTCAGTAGACGATTTCATTGGTCCATGCAAAGCAGAAACAGAAGAAACATAAAAGGAATGATCTGTGTTTCCCATCTATTACTTTCTTATTTAATAGCATTTGAACATAAAAGAGGGAGACTGACTCTTAAAAGTTTTCTTCGCTCCTAATAATTCATGTCCACTAATAAACACAGTTGGAACTTCCTACAATTTCCAAAGTCTGTTTATCTCTGTGTGGGCCAGAATGGGCTAAGTGGTATTGTGATGCAAGCCTCTCACCTTCAATTCACCATCTTGCCCATTTTGATCTTACATAAGCATGAGATACTGTGGATGCCCAAAGGCAGCCCTATTAGAAGATGCTAGAGTAGTCTAGCCCCAAAATCAACCCAGATCTGGGTTACATTAGCAAGATCTATTGGATTCTAGGAGCTTTGAAGCCTTCCCTTTAGCTTATATGGTGCCTACCTAGCCTTGGCCATCACATGCGATTATAGGAAACATTGCAAGATCACAAAACATCCAAAGCTGTAAAGTGGAAGCTTTGGGGGGTCCACTAGGCCCATGCACATGTCTCCTCTTTCAAGAGCCCAGGGATCTTTTTCATGGGGCAACTGTTTCTGAGATTTCATTCATGGCAAGATGTTGTAATTTGGCATTTGAAAAGGTTCCACTACCTAGAGACCACATTTACCCCAACACCCCAATCCTTACTGACTGCTATCTCTTTCTTATAGAGGGTCATCAGCTTTTATGACTCACTTGTGATATGCAAAATTTTGAGAATTTGTAACGGGTACTCAAATAAAATGGTTAACATGATGGGTAGATTTAATCATAATGTTCTTCGAAACCCCTTTTGATTGTTAGGATGCTTCCTATCCTTGTTTGCTTTGTTTCTGAGCAAGCAGATTCCCTTTTAAGCCATTCCAAAGATTTTAAATAATTTGTCTCACCACACTGTGAGTGTGAGTACAGATATCTCCAAATTAGGGTCTACCATTCTCAGAGCAAACAGATTTTCCAAAGTCAGATCCAAATTGATCTCAACCTATTACTGATTCCCTAGTCATTGTTTAGATCAGCCATCCTGATTTGTTGAGTTTGGAGTGTAATGAGTTTTCCAATTAATCCAGTTCTTAGGTCTTTAATGAATATCTATTACAAGTTTGATAGAAGTTGATAGGTTATGAGGGTGTTTCCTCAACCAACTCTTCTCCAGTTGACAGCCTCTCTAGACTGAATTCATAAGTCTCCTGTTTTCACATACATTCATGTGCCCTTTCCCACACTTTCAATAAACTTTCCCCCTTTACTTTATGACCTTGAAGTCAAGTATTATTGTCATCTCTGCCCTGGGAAACTTTGGCTCTTGACATCTCTCTCACAGCAGATATATTGAAACAAGATGGAAAACCTCAGAGAATATCCCTGGTGAAGGAACAGCAGATGCACCCATCTCTGATAGGAACATAACTGCAAGGATTTGCTGTTTTCAGTTTCCAACTCCACAAAGTGCTTGCACGATACATACTGATGTGTTCTAATAGTTATTATAAGTGTTATTCATTTCATTCGATTTTGAATGGTTATAACACTTCAGTCTCAACATTAAGAAAACCAAAATCATGGCATCTGGCCCTCTCAATTCTTGGCAAATAGATGGGGAAGAAATGGAGGTAGTGACAGATTTTATTTTTCTGGGCTCCAAGATCACCTCAGATGGGGACTGCAGCCAAGAAATTAAAAGACGCTTGCTCCTGGGGAGGAAAGCTATGGCAAATCTAGACAGTATACTAAAAAGCAGAGACATCACCCTGCCAACAAAAGTGCGTATAGTCCAGGCCACGGTTTTCCCAGTTGCAATGTATGGCTGTGAAAGTTGGACCATAAGAAAGGCTGAGCGCCAAAGAATTGAGGTCTTTGAAGACTCCTGCGAGTCCCTTGGACTGCAAGGCGTTCAAACCAGTCAGTCCTAGAAGAGATCAACCCCGACTGCTCTTTAGAAGGCCAGATCCTGAAGTTGAAACTCAAATACTTTGGCCACCTAATGAGAAGGAAGGACTCACTGGGAAAGATTGAGTGCAATAGAAGAAGGGGACAACAGAGAATGAGATGGCTGGATGGAGTCACTGAAGCAGTAGGTGTGACTCCAGAAAATGGTAGAGGACAGGAAGACCTGGAGTAACGTTGTCCATGGGGTCGCGATGGGTCGGACACAACTTCGCAATTAACAACAACAAACACTTCAGTAGAATTTGTATCCCATCAGAACAACCCATTTTAACTGGGGCACAAACCTTGTGTGGCCAGTCACTTTTAGGAGTGGTTGGGATGCAAATGGGGGGGGGGACAAAACTGTGCCTCCTGGGCCCAGTTCAGTATTGTTTGCCCAAGGACCTTCCTCCTGCAACATTCATATTCAAAATGTTCACTTGGTAGAACATAAATAAATCAGCACGAGTTCAGGGAGCAGACTATACCGAGTACACAGCTTTCAGCCTGCTTATTTGCCACAATAAAGGTTATAGCGTGCTGATAATAGAAATGGTCTCTTAACTGAGCCACGTTAGAGTTCAAATGCATGTGAAATTATGCAGTATCCTTAACTGCTTGTCCCTCTAGTAAAGGCCATTGTTTACTTAGCCAATATGCATATTGATCAGTTATAATGGAAATGTTTTTCCAAACCATTTCTTTTTCTGCTTCTGTTTTTTATTTGGTAATTAGAGTGGTTCAAGAGAGGCTTTGGTAAATCTGTTGCTATTATTTCTTTACTTACGTGTCCATCTTCTCTCTCTCTTTTTTCCTTCCCTCTTTCTTACTGATGTGATACAAATGCTTTAAAACAATCGCCAGTCATGTAAGAGGCCAATTTAGAAATCGTCCCTTGTTTGATGGTAATTTTTTGAAAATTACCTGAAAGTCCTCAAAATCCAAAAAAACGTGGAAGAAGGGGCTCACCACATGTCTTCTTTTTCTTCCCCATTTTTCTATAGGTATCCAGCAGCTGTGACTATGTCTTTGTGAGTGGCAAGGAGTCTAGAGGGTCCATGAATGCAGGTGTCTTCTTCAGCTATGAGCACCTGAGTGCCCTCTTGGAAATGACCGTTTGGGTCCCCAAACTCCCTCTTCATATTGAGCTGTCTGACCCACGCCTCAGCCAAGTGAAAGGATGGCGAGTTCCCATCTTACCTGATCGGAGGTAGTTTTGGGCTCTATACTTTAACGAGGATTTAGAGAAACTGGAACAGCTTCAGAGGAGGATGATTAGTGGAATAGAAATTTAGTCGAGAGAGATAGAAGCATCTGAGCAGGTTAGCTTTGGAAGGAGAAGACCGAGTGGGAATATGACAGTTATTGTGCAAGATGATGCCTGTGGAGGTGAGCTGGTTTATCCAACAAAGGGGAAATCGTTATCTCTCTGGGTAATTAATTCCATAGTGTAATTACTCTTCCATGAAAGTTTCTCCCTAACACTCAGTTGGAATCTGCCATCTTAATATCCATGTTTCTGTCTGCCCTCTGGGATGACAGAGAATAGATAAACTGTGAGAGATGATGCCCACAGAGGGGAAGGTGGTGTGAAGGACTAAGGTGAGGCAGCAGCTTCCCAGCAAGAAGGAAGCACATTCCAGAAAGGGAAGGGGAGAGAGAAGAGGCAGCACAGCCCACAGATGAACAGGAGACAAAGAAATAAAGTTTGGATAGGTACTGCCTAGAATCTCCAGGGTATATGAGCCGAGGTGGCGCAGCAGTTAGAGTGCAGTACTGCAGGCCACTTTAGCTGACTGTGTTCAGCAGGTCAGCAGTTCAAATCTCACCGGCTCTAAGTTGACTCAGCTTTCCATCCTTCCGGGGTAGGTAAAATGAGGACCCAGGTTGTTGGGGGCAATGTAAATATATATATACATTGCTTACTGGTGTACACCGCTTAGAGAGTGCTTGCACTTAAAGCGGTATATAAGTCTCATAAATAAATAAATATCTGTTAGGCTGAGGGTGGTAAGGGTTGAGTTTGGCAACATTCTGTCTGTTATGTGTAAGCCAAAAAAGAAAAAAGAATTGAACTCTGGCTAAACTGTTCCATGTCATTCTTGGGCTTAGATGGACATCAACATTGACAAAGTTAACCCTTACTACCCTCAACCAAATGTATATACCCTGGGAGATTTTAGGGAGGGGCTATTCCTTTCTGTGTTTCCTGTCCATCTCCGGGTTGTGTTGCCTCTTCTCTCCCCGCTTCCCATGCTGGAAGGTGCTCCCTCCTTCCTGGGAAGCTGCTGCCTCATTTTAGTCCTTGAGATCACTTCCTCTTCCATGGGATCATCTGTCACAGTTATCTATTCTGTCTCATTCCAGAGGGCAGACAAAGAAACATGGATATTAAGTTGGCAGATTCCAATTGTTAGATCACGCTTGGAATACTAACATCCAGTTTTGGTCACCGCGATGTAAAAAAGATGTTGAGACTCTAGAAAGAGTGCAGAGAAGAGCAATAAAGATGATCAGGGGGCAGGAGGCTAAAACATATGAAGAACGGTTGCAGGAATTGGGTATGTCTAGTTTAATGAAAAGAAGGACTAGAGGTGACATGATAGCAGTGTTCCAATATCTCACGGGCTGCCACAAGGAAGAGGGGGGAATCAACTTATTCTCCAAAGCACCTGAAGGCAGAACAAGAAACAATGGATGGAAGCTAATCAAGGAGAGAAGCAACCTAGAACTAAGGAGAAATTTCCTGCCACTTAGAACAATAATCAGTGGAACAACTTGCTTCCAGAAGTTGTGGATGCTCCAACACTGGAAATTTTTAAGAAAAGATTGGACAGCCCTTTGTCTGAAATTGTATAGGGTTTCCCGCTTGAAGAAAGACCTCCAAGGTTCCTTCTATTTCTATTATTCTGTTAATTCAACTGAATGTTAGGAAGAAACTTACATAGAAGAGTAATTGCACAGTGGAACTAATTACCCATAGAGATAGCAATTCCCCCTTTTGCCTAATTAATTAATTAATCTAAGTCACCCATCTCCCTCAAAGAGGGGTTATATATTGAAGAGAAGACTTTAATTTGAATTCCTGCATAGAACATGCCTGAAGTCAGGGATCTCCAAGCCCCCGTCCAATAACGGTCTGTGCCTGCCAGGAACCAGGGTGTGCAAACGAATAAAGCCTATCTGTGCATGCATGGAATCCAGGCAGCCCCTCCCCTCGGTCCATGGAAAAACCACCCAAAAGGTTGGGGACTGCTGCCTTAAGCCCGTAATGTCACTAGTGCAGAAAGGAATAGGATGGAGAAGTCTGCTGCAGATGTTTGAGTGATCAATAGGGAGAGCTATGCTATGTAAACTTGAGCTTACCCTAGACTTTCCATACTAGACATCCATATTTGTGAGCTGCAGAATGTATAAGCAGTAACCATGGCTCGTGTTCAGTTCATGATCATGATCCAAAATTATTCATTTTGGAGGACAGGAAGCATTGCCCTATTGCCCTATTTTGGTGTTGTGTTGCCATCATCTTTAAGATCCAGCTGGCTGTATGACAATATGGTGAGATCAGAGTGACTACCTTACCTACCTGACAACAGAACATGTTTTTCCCCCCAGAATAATTAATTAATTAGGCAGGGCATTCCCTTCAGTTCAATGGTAAGGACAGAAAAAGTGATGAAGATAAACATATAGGCAAGAGATGCTAATGATTTCAGGCCTGCAGATTAGTTGTTGCTTGGGAAGGGAAACTGCCTGGTGAATTTATTTTGCAACTCCTGTGGAACACTCTGTATGGCTCTCAGTTTCCCCATCCCTTCTCTCCCACTTATATCGTTTTCATCCTACGCATTTCCTCCCCCCCCCTTCATGTACTTGCCTGTGTTGTGACTTATGTGAGGATGAATATAAGAATGTGTGTGTGTGTGAGAGAGAGAATACACAGATAGCAATCAACCAGCTTTGTAAACGAGATACCGTATTTTACAAACAAACAATTAAGTGTAATTAGTAGCCATTCCTTGAGCTAGTATAGATTAATTTTGTTTGCCCTGAGACTCCCCTGTTTTGGAGTGTGGCTCATGACAAGAATATGCACACTAATATACTGTGTATCATATCCATCCATTTCTTTGGGAAAGGAGTATAATCCTCAGGATTGGTTTCAGCTCCAGTTGGCAATGTCAGCTTCACAAGCTGAGGAAGCTAGGCATTCCATGTCTGTTTTTTGTTTATCTTTCTTTTCTTGGCCATTCTTATTTGGGGAGGAGGGGCACAGTTATCTTAAATTCATGGTTGTCTTTCTTGGAGGTCAATAAGCTGGTTCCTGACCATCTGAGAAAGCTGCCAACCAAATCCTTTTTCTGTGCTGATGTCCTTCAACTTCTCACCAGGTCCATACGGGAGAGTGACGATGAGGAGGAGGAAGAAGAACGGAGACAAAGCAGGGGCTGCACACTTCAGTATCAGCATTCCACCCTGCAAGTGTTCACACAGTTCCACACCACCTCCTCAGAGGGCACAGATCAGGTGGTCACCATGTTGGGGCCTGAATGGATGGTGGAGGTCACAGACCTAGTTGGTGACTTTATGAAGGTTGACAACCCACGTGTGGCACACATGGTCAATAGCAAAACACTAGCTGGCAGGGAGCCGGGCACTACTTTGTTCAAGGTAAAAACTAATCAAATGCTGGTGGTGACTTTATGAAGGTTGGTGACTTTATGAAGGTTGACAACCCACGTGTGGCACACATGGTCAATAGCAAAACACTAGCTGGCAGGGAGCCGGGCACTACTTTGTTCAAAGTAAAAACTAATCAAATGCTGAACCAAAAAAAAAAAAAATTATATTAGTCTGATAGGGTGGGGGGAAGGGAGGGAGGGAGGGAGGAAGGAAGGAAGGAAGAACATCAATGTTATTCCTCGGATGCACAAAATCCGAGCAAATGCCATCAGATTTTCATTAAATGATCCACAAGTTGTCCTCAGACTGAGCAGGCTGTCTGTTGTAATGGCAAAAGTGAAAGAAGGATAGTTTGCAGATACCCATAAATCCTTTGCTTGTTATTGTCTTGTACATTTGGAAGCAAAAAAAGTGGATATCCTGTTTTCAAAAATATCTAACCTTTCCCCACCCAATCCATCCTACTTATTTTCTAGAGCAGGGGACCCCAATCTGTGGGCCACAGCAATCTAATCACCATTGGCTTGCATGAGTGGCCGGCCAGTGTGTGCACATGGCCCCACGCATGCGAGTCTCATTATGAGCAATCGCGTCCCCATTTGCATAAGCCTCACTACGGGCGCTTGCAGCCCCACTTGTGTGAGCCTCGTTGCAGGTGCTTGCAGCCCCATTCGCGCGAGCCTTGTGGGTGCTTGTGGCCCCACTCGCGCAAGTGACACTGTCATGGGCGCATGCGCATGCACGTGCACATGCACGTGCATTTTCTCCCTGAACAGTTCTGAGCAGGGCTTGACTCTGTGCCAGGAATGTCTGTAACTTCAATTAATTCCAGGCTTTGACATTGCATTGCTTTCCTAAGCAAAAATCCCAGGCTGCCATCTTCAAAGATAGTGCTGCTTAAGGTCAGGGTGCCTCCTGCTGAGAAAATACCCTTTGAAGAATTTTCTGTGCGTCTATGTGAAGGAGAGATCATGAATGGGTGATGATCTGTGGACTGGCTCTATTATTATGAGAAGCCCAGTTCCAGAGGAAGAAATGGAAAATGTGGCTATAGATCTCAGGAGGCAGTTTTGCAATTCAGAACCTCTATTACCAAAACTTCAGAAGCTGTTCTGTGATGGGCATTTCTTTTCCTTTAATGCAGTGTTTCTCAACCTTGACAATTTTAAGGCATGTGGACTTCAACTCCCAGAATTGCTGGCTGTGGAATTCTGGGAGTTGAAGTCCACATGCCTTAAAATTGTCAAGGTTGAGAAACACTGCTTTAATGTATTCTTTGTTTTTTTAAAAAATGAAAACATATTCCTCATGTGAGATAACCCATATTCAGTGCAGGGAAAAGATGATACAAATAAGTTATGAGAGCGATCTAGACTTGTATCCATGTCTTGTGCTGCAATATATATTAAACCTTGCTTATCATTGAGCAATGCAAGGTATGTTTTATTCCTTTCATACTCATTTTTTAAAATGAAAGTTTAGATTCTAAGAATATCAGTATATGTTTGGCTTCCACTTGCTGGGCCTAAAAATGTCAGAGTTCTAGGCTAGAATAAGTTTGTTTTTTGTTTCTTTTAAAAAAAGAGAGATGGATAGTATATTTCAGGGCCTATTTCATCCTGACTGCTATCTACCATTATCTGAAGAGGTTCTTAGAAAAAAAGAAAAGTCAACTCAAAAAAATGGTGAAATTGGAGCATCTTTTTTGTAAGAAAAGGCTACATTTGCCGTTTAGCACTATTGGTTGCAGTCTCCACTCCCCCCCCCCCAATTTATGCTACCAACATTTTGCATTATAGTAGAAAAAAAATGCTCAATTTGAAGGATCTTCCCTTTAATCCAGAAATATTCATTTAGTTCTCTTCCTATGCTTTTAATAGAGTTGTTTTCACATTTTCAAAAATCTGATTCTCTGACTCCTCGGTCATAGTTCTTTATCAATGAGGGAACCCATTTTTTCTACAGGTAGTTTCTCCACTTATGGAAGCTGTCCTTGGTGAGACACCAGTGACTGTGGTTGATGAGAAGGTTACCATTGTGGAATTGAAAGCTCAGGTGGTCTCAAACCTCTCCCTTTCCCTTCATGCCAGCCCTGGGAATAGCCACACCATTGTGGCCAAGACAACAGCCCAGCAGATTCTCAATTTCTCCAAGCAGGTAATGTTGACCAGTTTCAGGAAATAGTCTCACCCTGTAGTTCCCAGAAGCCCTCAAGGCTCAAGGGAAGCCCGTATGGATTGGTTCCATTCTCACACAGAGCCAAAGAGAAGGCCAACTGTTCTGTTCAGACTGCAGAGAGAGGCCCATGGGATGGGAGGCTGCTTCACCTGAGAACATTCTCGGTAGACAGAGAACTAGGATGCCACGGGAAAACAAAGTACATCTCAAAAAATTTGAGCGGAACAAAGTACATCTCAAAAAATTTCCCTAACAGAAGACCTAATGTTTCTGTGTATTTATGTGGAAGGAGAACTCTAGTTCATCAGAGAGAGTCTGAATCTTTAAAAGATTCAGAGAAATATATGCTTAGTGAGTTTTTTTTCTTTTTTAGTGGATTTTTTAAATCACTGAGAATTACAGCAAAATTCTTCTCATGATATATTATCATGTCACTGGGTTTGCACAGTAAGCTGAACAAAGTCAGTTAAAGATCTAGCAGTTGCATTTACACAACTTGCTAAACATCATTGCTTTTAATTGGTTGATGTTGTTGTTTAGATTCTTGTGTGAACTCAACCTGCCTACGTATAGGAGAAGATAGCTTACTAGTGAAGGAAATTTTTACAAGATTTCTGTAGCCTCGTAAATGTTTATTTGATAGTTTGATAGAGTATATTACGTATGGTCTATATGTTCCAAGTGATTCCAAGCAGTTTACAGAGTAAGCTGTACGAAAAGAAAACATAAAGCCATGGCAAAATATTTGATGCAACCAATAAAAATAAAATAAAAATCACAGAAGAATAATACCATGTCCAGGCTCCCTCCTTAGCAAGGGTGACATAAATAGCCTTATAGGCTTCAAAAGCCCTACAAAATACAGGTAATCCTTCACTTGCAACCATTTGTTTAATGACCATTTGAAGTGACCACAGCACTGTTGTAGCACTTCTAAAGTCATGTGATCAATTTCAGGAATTAGGCAACTGCATGTATTTACAATGGTTGCAGCATCCTGTGGTCATGGGATCTCCATTTATGACCTTCCTAGCAGGCTTCCAATAAGCTAAGTCAATGGGGGGAGTCACATTCGCTTAGTGACCATGTTATTCACTTAACAACCATGACAAAAAGGTCATAAAATCCAGCGCAACTCAATTAACTGACTTCTGGTTTCAATTCTGATGGTAAGTCAAGGACTACCTATGAAACAGATTTAACTGTCATTCTTAATAATAATGAAGTAGGGCCAGCCTTCTGGATTTTGTCTTTTATTTTGGCATCAATTAGATATCATTTGAGGATGTTGTTAGGCAGTAGGAGATCCACCAAGGCTGCATTGCCGCCCCCTACAATTAGACATTATATGATTTATTTATGTAAGCAAACACACCGATTTCCTTTCGTTAATCCAAATGGATGGTTTTTCCTATTGGGAAAACTGAGAAGATTGTGATTGGGTATAAATAAATGAGACAAAAGAGAGACCGATTTGGGCAAAAGGACAGGTTAATGTGCACTAGATGGGGACAATGGGAATTTGCATTCCAGACTATCTGGAGGGTAACTGATTGGGGAAGGTTTAATATAGAATATAGAAACAGACAGATGGATGGATGAAAACAGTGGAAATTGGGGAATTAGGACTGATAGAGAGTGGTGGTTTTGAAACTGGGGATCCCAGGTTCTGGGTGATCAAAAGACGCCTTGCTATGTCTTCCTTGATCAGTATGTATTGGCAAAGAAGCTTTTCTGAAATTGAGCTTGACAACTATTCATAACTTTTCTGTCCTGGCATCCCAAACATATCAATTGGTCCAGGTTGCTTGAGGGACCGTCTCACTCCACTGGGATTGGCCCATCCCACTCGTACCGGCAGAGGAAGCCTGCTGTGGGTCCCCGTCAGCCCGATTATTCCGGCTGGCGGGGTCCATGAGGAGGGCCTTCTCTGCTGTTTCTCCTGTCCTCTGGACATCTTGCCCCCCCCCCGCATGTGAGTTTGGCCCCAACCCTCCTATCCTTTCATAAGGGCCTGGCTCTGCCAGTTGGCCTGGGCCCCTTTTGGGGAAACAGTGGAGAGGGTTGATCAAGTAACAACTGATCCCACCTCCCCCAATTCCGCCCCCGCCCTCCCCACATGCCCCTGATTTTAATCTTGGTTTTAATTTACTCCCAATTTAAAATAGATGTATCTTTATGCCTGTAAGCTGCCCAATTTTATTGGTCGGCCAATAAAATAATAAATAAATGAATGAATGAATGGGAGGAAAAATATTCCAGAATGTTCTGTAGTTCCAAAGGTAGAAGAGTTCTTAAATAAAGACTTAAAAACAAACTCATTTTCTATTGAATGGAATGATAAGGCATGCATTTTGAACTGGGCTATCCATAACTAAAAGGTTCCACTCTCCAGAGGTCGCATTAGGTCCGTGATTTAAGTCCTTTGGGGTCTCCTCAAAGATCCAAAAATACATGTTTGAGCAAAAGCTTATGGGGTGGTTCCAAACAGTTTTGTCTTTTTTTTTTCCAAATAGGAAGCTCTGCTCAGTCTCTGGGTGTCGTACAGTGATGGCACAATTGCTCCCCTCTCTTTGTATGACCCAAAGGATTACACTCTAGTGGTGACAAGCCAGGACAGGTCAGTGGTATCGGTGATGTCCGAGCGGACCTTCCCACTAGTGAGAGCTGAAGGGGAAGGGTCTGGCGAACTGATCAGAGCTGAGCTGCTGATATGCGAGAGCTGTCAGAAGACCAAACGCAAGAGCGTGCTGGCCACCACATTGGCCAATGTCCGCGTGCATTTCAGCTCTGAGGAGGAACCCACCTATGACTATGAGCCTGTCCAAACTCCTAGCCGACCTGGACGGGAGAAGAGTATGCCTCGCACCACACCACGGGTGGAAGTAGAGTGGCCTCTGGTGCCAAGTCAGGAGAGTTGGGCACCCAGCGTTATCCTTCCAACTGAGGACTTCCCAACCATTCCCACTGGCTATGTGCAAGTCCCTCGAGGACTCACAGACCTGGAAATAGGCATGTATGCCCTGCTCGGTGTCTTCTGTTTAGCCATTCTGGTGTTCCTTATTAATTGTATTGTCTTTGTACTCAAGTATCGGCACAAACGGATCCCTCCAGAAGGACAAACCAACATGGACCACTCCCACCACTGGGTCTTCTTGGGAAATGGACAACCGTTACGGGCCCAGAATGATCTTTCTCCTCAGCCTGAAAGCCCAGGCAACCCACTGGAGAACGTGCAGACCTGCTGCCATGGTGACCACCACAGCAGCGGCTCCTCGCAAACCAGTGTGCAGAGTCAGGTTCATGGGCGAGGGGATGGCTCTTCTGGGGGCTCCACCAGGGACCAGAGCGAGGACCCGCTCAATTCTCCCACATCCAAGCGTAAGCGTGTCAAATTTACTACATTTGCCACCATGCCCTCTGAGGAACTGGCCTATAATTCTATTCCTATAGCAGACGAGGAGGACTTGGAGTGGGTCTGTCAAGACATAGGGTTGCAGGAGCCCGAGGAGCTGCACAACTACATCCATAGGATCAAGGAGATTGCATAATGGGCCGGACCCAACACTTACAAGCCAAGGAGAGAGAGATGTAGGGGATGCTCTCTCTGGGCTTGAAATGGCTAGATTACATTGCCCCCCTGGGCTCTCCTCTAGCTCTTCTTCTCAGTGGACAAGCCCACCTGCACGACCAGGAATGGTTTACAGGAAAACCAGACCTCTTGTAGAATGGGATGAATCTTTTCTTTTTTCTTTTGGAGGGAGAGCAATTATGAAAGGCTGCTTGTGGTACATCTGTGGGTCACTCTGTATAGTTGAAGGCGACATGGCTGGAGCAGGCTGGGTGCCATTACTCCATTAAAGTGGGGTTGGGGACTGATTGGCGCCGTCAAGCAGGCCAAGAGAAGGAAGTGTCTGAGCCATTGTTGGAATGAGCCAGAGTGTGCAATAGGTCCTTGCACCTGATGGGTTGCTTGGGGGAATGTTACTCCTTGCCTTGCCAACATCCACTGCTGCCTTTGCTGCCCGTCTCTCTCTGAAAGGCGATGCAATCCTTTGGTCTCTCGGCTTTTTTTTCTTGCACAATAAATGTTGACTCTTTAAAATAAATAATATTCAGGGATTCTGCTTGGCCCAGAGGGAGCCAAATGGAACAGTCTTCTGGTTTGTGGAGAGGGAGAAACCTCAGACCAGATTGCCATCAGACCCCACAAGGTGGCTGGGACTCACTGTTGCTACCCTGGGGAGGGGAGCTGAGAAAAAGGACTGCCCTCCCTTGCTACTCTAAACACCATCTTCTCCTTCTAATACCTGTATTGCTTCTTCCCTAGTTCCAGGCTCTGTTTTTTCCAAAATTGTGTATTAAAATAGTAAGCCCACCCTCTAACTCCAAGCAGGAGAGTGGAAATTAATCTTCCTGGAAGAAGCCACCTAATTTCCAAAGAGAAATCAAGTTCCTAACCTGCCTCATTTTTATATGTGGGAATGTTTGATCTTCAAAATCTTCCTGGTTGGCCTCTCCATCAGTTGACAGCCATGTTAGGAATAGTTTTCCCTTCTTGTTGAGGCAATACAATTTTCCTATAGAAGGAGGAAGAGAGAGGTGTAGTTACTAGTCTCCCACTGTGTGCACTCCTCAAACCCTCCCCCCCCCCCGTTCCCTGACTCACTGTCTGAGCTTCTGTGATGTCCAGGGACATGGAAAACAAAGCTCTTCCCAAGCGTACAACAAGGCATAGATTGCACGAAGGGTCATGATATAAATTAGAAAAGGGCAAGCAAGACAGGGTTAGGCATGATGATGATACCCTGACCAAGAGCCATTATATTCAGAGGGCTGAACGTACATTTTTATTAAAAAAAGGGGGAGAGATCAGTCCAATCTAGCTGCAGGATTCTAATTTTTCCAGAAGTTCTGTCTACTTATTCTTCTCTTTGGGAAGGAGAGTTGATACTTGCCAGTGAAAATAATTGGATTTGATCCTTAGAAGGATCATGATATCCTTGACAATCAGCCTGGTGGGTAGCCTCTGAGCAAAGCTGAAGAATCTCTGACCTTGCTGTTTCTCAAGAGTCCTGGGAAACTTTCAGATATTGGAATGGGAGGGAGGAAGAAAAGGTACATACAAGCAGAGATTGGCAGAACAAGTAAGTATAAAATGATTCATTGGGGGCAAAACACTCTACATCAATTTTTCATATACACAGCTGGAGCCTGAACTGTGTGTTACTAACCAGGAAAATTACCTTGGGGTCATAAAAGGTACATTGGCGAAGATGCTGATGTATATGAATGTTGTGGAAATGACAAACTCCAACTAGGAAAATAAAGAAGAAATTAAAGATCGCCAACATTGTAGCATGCTTATATAAATCTAGGGTACGACCACACCTGGAAATCTGGTTGCCATATTTAAAAATGAAGGTAATTGAGCTGGAACTACAGAAGTGGACAATCAAAGTGTCTGGGAGTTGCATAAGCTTCTGATTTGTTTTGTTTTATTTTGTTATTTATATCCACCCCATCTTACCTAAAAACAACTCTATGCAGCTTACAACAGTAGAAATAAGGTAAAACATTAAAAATAAGGTCATAAATATTAACATTAAAATTAACAAGGTAAGCAAGCTACAAAAAGGCCGGAGATAGAATGATTCAGGTGTATACCATATACATAGCATGAAGAAAATAAATGGAAAAGTCTTTGTCCCTTACTTCAAACACTACGACGTGGATCATCTAGTGATTAGAAGGGTTAGAATAGAAAATGGTTTTCCACATGACACATGCTTAGCCCATGAAATACTGAATTAGAGCCACCATGCTTTAGGTTAAAGGCTATCAGTCTCAAGGCTCAAGATTATCTTTTAGGTTGAGGCACCATGTCTTCAAATACCAGTTGGGGGCAGGAGATACATCTGTCTCTACAGAGAAGCAAAATACTGGACTAAGACATACTTTGCCCATAGAAGCTGTAATCATAATGCCTCTGGAGAACACCAGTATTGCTGGCAATGCATAGCATTCTGCAGAAGATGTGTGTAAAGCTGACAAACCAAGATGTGGAGCTAGAAGGCAAGATCAGTTGAAGTTAGGAGGCAAATTCCTTCTTCAGAGCTTGTTCACCCACCCTCCTAACCACCTGCTCAAAGAGGTGAGTATATTAATAAAAAGGATTAATAATAAATAGCACTTTGCACTAGTTGGATGTCATGAGACCCTGATGGTGCATATTATTTTGCTGTTAACCTTCAATACATCCCAAGCTCTTGGTGTTTCAATGCTTGCTTTTAACAGAACTTCAAACTATGCAATGAAAAATTAAACTGTCATGTGACAGAAATTACAGTACAGTCACCACACACCTGGATGCCAAATGTCTCATGCCTGATTCCCAGCATGTCCAAATAAAGGAGGAGAGACAACAGTGGCCAATGAGACTTCAGAGAGCCTGCAGTAGCCCTAGTATCCTTCAACAGCTTCCATGTTTCAAGTACTATCTCACAAAGATCAATGGTCAATTATAATACCTCCTCAGTCCACCTGCCTAGTCATTAGGTTATGTGTTTCTCTTTATATCACTGGCTGGGACTGTCAGGCTGAGTGTTATAACCCCTGTGTAGTAGCTTTGCATATGTGGTGTATTGCCACATCAGGTGTTCTCCAGATTATCTACCTAGGAAATTTAAAGTGATGTGAGTGCAGTCACTGCCATCCCTCAGACCAAATCAGAATTAGATCAGTTTGTTCCCAAATTGTGTTAAGTATAGGCTTTGTTCACACCACATAATTTATTTGATTACTAAACCCATTTTCTGGGTTTAGAGAAGACATTGATCCACTAAAAGCCAAAAGGGCTGTTAATGTTAATATTAAGCTTGTTGCAAATATGCCATAGAATAAATTCACAGCATGCAGAAAATCCTGTTTTCTTGCTTAATGGGTTTTTCCAATCCAAGGCTTTAATACAAGGTAGGGCTCCCATTTTGGCTATGATTCAGGAATAAATACATGCTTTGGATGCTGGATACTGTGTTCAGTCAATGAGCTCTTTGGGATCTTTGCTTTAGAGCAGGGATCCCCAATCCTGGGTCTGTGGACCGGCACTGGGCTGCAGTATGCCAGCAACTGGGCCATACAAACAAAGCCCCATCTGCGGGATGTAGGCAGCATGCAAAACACACCCATTCCGCAGAAAAACCTTTATCCATGGAACTAATCCCTGGTGCCCAAAAGGTTGGGAACCACTGCTTTAGAGTTTGGGAAGCAACTGTTCCTAATTAACATATAAGTCTTCAACTTACAACAGTTCGTTTAGTGGCTGTTAAAAGTTACAATGTGACTTATCACTTAGGACTTGCAGCATCCTCCTGGTCACATGACCAAAATTTGGATGCTTGGCATCTGGTTCATATTTATGACAACTGCACTGTCTCGGGGTCATGTGATTACCTTTTGCAACCTGACAAAGTCAATGGGGAAGCCAGATTCACTTAACAAATGTGTTACTAATTTACCAACTGCAATGATTCACTTAACCATGTCAACAAAAGTTGTAAAATGGGGTAAAATTCAGTTGACAATTGTCTTGCTTAGCAACAGAAATTTTGGGCTCCATTGTGATTGTAAGTTGAGGACTACCTATAATTGCAAATTGCACACTTGTAATGAATGCACATCATCCAGGCATCTTAGGAGAATTTGGGGGCTACATTATTTTGTTACAAGCTCCAGGGCTTTTTTTTTTGTCATAGAACGCCCAGAATGGAGTTCTGGCACCTTTTTTGGATGGAACCTTGTAGGTAGACAAGGCGGGTTGTATGATGTGTGAGTTCTGGCACTTTTTTTTTTTTTTACAAAAAAAGCACTGACAAGCTCCAATTCTCTGGTTGGGTCCACAATAGCACACTAAACAGAATTATAGGTAGTCCTCTAGATAGGACCGTAATGAAGTCTGCCCATTACAGTTGTTTGTTGTAATGGTCATAAATTTTACTAATTTATGTTTTTTGCGGTTAAGTGAATACAGTTATTAAGCAGATCAATGGGTTCACTTTGGAGGTAGTTTTTGGTGTAAACCAAAGGTAAGTTACAGTTTTCTGCAAAATTGTTGTAATATGTAGTCACATGACCCCAGAACTTTGTCAAAACTTTGTAGTTGGGTAGTAAATCCCCCTTTTCAGGTTGGCCATAACTCAGGAACTACCTGTGCTGGTTTATCAGATTTCTGGAGCCCAAGATGGTACATGTAGCAGAACCTCCTTTTTTCTGCAACCATGTTGCGAGGTAGGTTGTGCTGTGAGAACGAACGGCTCAAAGTCACCAGATGAATTTTATGGCTGAGGGTTGACTAGAAACCGGACAGCAAAACACAAGTGCTGTGCCTACATAATGTGTTATACCCAAACCATATTGTGGCTTAGTGCAGTAGTCTGCTTTACTCCACTTGCTGGCACAATTCCTAGAGGAGGCTTAACTTGACTACTGAACTCCGTTTTCTGGCCTTAATAGATCAGGGGTCTTCTGGGAGTTGAAGTCCATGAGTCATAAAAGGGCCAAGTTTGAAGACCCCTGCAATAGATGAAGAAATAAAGCAAAGGGGCTGAATTCAAATAACATTCTTAGATATACCCCCTCCAAAACACTCTAACTAAGATAGAAACTAACCAAGATCTACATGCTGTCTGGGAAATTCTGGAAGTCCACATATCTTAAAATTGCCAAGGTTTGGCAACACTGCTCCAGTCCTTGGGCACTGTTTTCCTGGGCCATTCCGAGTTGAGAAATAAGAGAATCTAATTCCTTCAAGCCAGATTCTCCATTGATAACTAGCAAAGGGCTTGGAGATCTGGACCAGCCTAAACAGCAGTTGCTTTAATCCAGGCACTCCTGACTATTAAACATTAGATATCTATTCTAACCAGATACCTAGGGTTTTTTTTTAATTTCTAAGACATTTAACATCATTTCACGTACATAATATAACTCTAGTATGTATATACTGTATGTTTGTATAAATACACAAACACACACACACTTTGTACTTTCAAATGCAAAGTGGATATGATAAGGAAGTGATAAGGAAATATGGTGAAGCTGCCAGAGAAAATATGGCTGCTCTCTGCTTCTTTAGTAAACGTTTCCATTCTCCCCAGTCTTTCCTTGTAAGATCTATTGTCATTCCATAACCTGTTCTATTTTTTTTTAACATCCGACTTAAAATCTGATGCCCAAACAGAATAACTTGAGAGTTTAACCAATGTGCATTAAAGTGGTATTATTACTTCCTCTGATTTAGAAATATTCATTTCAAATCCCAAGGATAGTTACATGCTACATTAGCTAGTGAATTGGTGAGCAAAGTCTGGGATATATTATAGCACCGAATGGGCAGCCACAAAATGTGATAAAAGGTTTTCTGTAGCCAAATGCTCACACTGTTGAAATAATTTGGAACCAGACTTAAGATGCGAAACACCCTCTCTGGCCTTTTGCTAAACATTTTACTAGCCCCTCTTTGTTA